AATACATCCAAATCAGGCTGCATTTGTAAAAGGACGGAATATTGAAGAACCATTGAGATACATCTTTGATCTTTTTGAGTATTCAGAAAAAACTAATAATTCCTATATCCTWTTCGCAGCAGATTTTAAAAAGGCATTTGACTCTGTAGAGCACAATTTCATTTATGCAACCTTACYTCATTTTGGCTTTGGCGAGAATTTCATACGATGGATAAGGATATTATTAACGGATATTAAAAGCTGTGTCCAAAATAATGGAAATGTGACGGATTTTATCCCTTTAAAACGAGGAACGAAGCAAGGGGATCCTATATCACCATATCTGTTTATTCTAGTTATGGAGATTCTTGCGGAACTAATTAGAAATGATAAAGATATAAATGGTATTAACTTATCACARTTAGAAAGAAAGGATACAAAGATCGTGTTATTTGCTGATGACGCCACTTTCACATTAAAAGATGTAAAGRCACTTAAAGGTTGTGTAGAGATTATCAAAGCTTTTGGTGAGGTGTCATCGTTAGAACTTAATTTKGATAAATCAGAGGTGGGATGGGTTGGTCCCAAAAAGGAGTTGGASAGCTTGCCCCTTTGTATAAAAAAGAAAATAGATTTGCAAAGTCAAGGAATTCGTATATTAGGTATATATTTTTCGCACAATCAAGAGTATTTGAGATCGAACAATGTGGATAGGGTGTTTGAAAGGTTCAAGTCTATTCTAAATGTGTGGCGCCAAAGAAATCTAACCCTTTATGGAAAATGCGTAATTGTGAATGTGTTAGCTCTGTCACAGCTTCGGTTTATTTTCTCGAATATACCTTTTCCAAGGAAATACATTAAAAAGGTTCAAGATGAAATAGTCAATTTCATTTGGAATGGAAAAAAGCCGAAAATAAAGTATAAAACATTAGTCAACAGTTATGATCAAGGTGGAGTGCGTCTTGCTGACTTAGAAACAATGGTTAAGACTAACAGAGTACGTTGGGCTTTAAAGATAATAACTAGCGACAAAGAAATTTATTGGAGATATATATGTGATAAATATTGTGAGGAAATAGGCGGGTTTGTACACTTAAATCAAAATTTTGATTTCGATTTTCTCTTCTCAAAAAAGGTGAATTTACCATTATTTTACAAAGAAATATGTCAAGCATGGTCGGAGGTTAGCCAAGTAGAAGCTGTTTCTRTCAAGGATATATTAAATCAGCCTGTTATTTTTAACAAGTTTGTTAAGGTGCAAATGGGKAAAAAAAGTATTAAGAGGCTTTGTGATAAAGGCTTAGCGTCCTTAAGTCAAGTATGGACAGGAAAGAAACAAAGTTGGGAAAAAGCTAAAAAGATGGGTTGGGAGGAGAGTGATTATTTAATTTGGAGATCTATCCTTGAATCTATACCCAACAAATGGAAAAAAACATTAAAAGAAAGCAACGTATTGCCAAGAATGATTGAGATTCGTATCAATCCAAGAAATATTTCTATTGGAGGGGAGCTATGTCCCATTGAAAAGGCAACATCTAAAAAGATTGCTTTTGAGTCCATTGCGAGGTAAAATCCAATATGGCTTTCTTTATGACCACCATTGATCGATCTCCTTTGACTTCAGATGCTTCTGACTTCCTCTCAGGATTCATWCAGTCAGTTTGAATGTCAGTTTTAGTAGGTTTGTCAGTTATATCGTAGTTTTCATTTGAATCATTTGAGATCTCGTGTGAACTAGTAAGAACTTTGCTAATAGATTCGTGGACCGGCCCGTTCCGAAAATCACGCTGAACATCTTTTAGTGTGGGCCAACCAAGAACGGCGTGTGCATTTGTGTGTGAGATCAGCGTCCTAGTTTTGATTTCCTTCATTGTCTTGATACAACTTCTTCAAGGTCGTCGAAGCTACGCAGCTTTTTTTGTTGACCACGAGGCCGATCTTTTGAAACGACTGCAGACTGCAGACTATCGAAATCGCGGGCGCTACCACTTTGAAGCCAAAAAATCACAACAAATCGACGAAAAACCAGCAGCATTTTAAGACATGGTCTTCCACAGGAAGCCCATGTAATTAGATATTAAAAGGGTTTTGTTTTAGACAATTATGTATGTTTTTATTACAAAATCAACATGTAATAGGGCTAAAACTACAACAAATAAATATGTACAAGACGAATCAAGAAACTGTGAATGATCCTACCTCTTGGCGATTATTTTCTTTTCAAGCGATTTACACTGGTTTGTCGTACGATTCTCGGCGGCTTATTAAAGAATATACTGGGGACTGCATCTCTTTTTAAACGTCTCTTTCCTTTTAAAGGGCCAAGTAACTTCGCTTTCAAGGCAAAGCCTTCATCAAAGCACGATGACTCGAAGTGTAGTGAGCACAGATGTGATTTCTTTGGCAAATTACTCTCAGGTCTTGAAATAGCACGTATCCACTTTTTCCTTATTGCCAGACGATTTACACCAGGAAGAACATGAAAAGAAATGTTTGGGTCCTTTCTTGTGGCGTCGCTTGTACATTTATGAGGTACACAATGCGGCATACTTGTCGTAAAGAAATTTACACGGCATGAGAAAAATGTCAAAAATGTAAACAAATCTACGAGCAACTAGCGAGCGAGCGGCCGGCAAACCACGACATGTCGTCATAAATCTTCGTCAGAAAACACAGGTATCCCATTCGGATATTTTTCGTACCTTTGACGTTATTTTTCGAGAAAACAAACAGACTTTGGAAAAAATGGATATGAAATTTGAAATCAGCGGCCTCTGAATTGTAAATGAAGCTCAAGTTCATTTTTAGTGTAGGATCCCTTTAAGTTTTGAATTCTCCTAGTTTTGACTGAAAAGATACCTCTCAAAGTTTGAAGCTCAATTATTAAAAAAGTTCAACGTTTCGTCTAAAGCATTACAATGCTGACAGGCCAGGAAGCATACATCTTTCGCTTATATTTGTTCAGTTGTTGCCATTTCTTGAGTTCGAATTCTTCATACGATATGGCGGACATAAGAACAGTCTCCTTTTTTAGAGGACATACTGCGGCTAGCACTCCTCTACAGCGTTCTAGCAGCCAGAGCAGTCAGTTGACTTGCGCCTTTAGTATCCTACGATGTGATTGGCTAATGAATTTTTGGTGGTGGTCTCGGTAGTCTACCAACAATAACCTACTATTTTGTCACGTACCAATAATAAAGAAGATGGCAGCTTGCCGAGATGACCATAAAACTAAACCTAAGGTTAGTCATGACTTATCCATCGTCAGTTATTAAAATATGCGATATCCACCAATCAGCAGCACCTCGTCTAAGTTGCCCCCACCATGCTTGTATCCTTTGATTGCTGACCAATCTTCCTTAAAGAAAGCTTTTATCCCCCGACCAACTATCCCCAGATTCATGTCGTAGATAACGTTGAATAGATGCGATTCTAACGCTCTCTGTTCCCATGTCTGCTTGAATCAAAGAGGTAGTACCTCCAACATTTTGCACACAGTCAAGAAAATATCTCGAAATGACACCTGGGAGGTTATTTGTGCGCCCAACCTCCAGCCAGTATTCTTCTATGAAATTGTTACGAATGTCATTCCCTGCCACCATTTTGAATAACTAACATTGATAAAACGCAACCTCGGTTCCAGGTCTTCTCTCTTCGCTAAATTGCACTGAGGTTGGATAACACGAGCCTGCGCAACTGGCCTGCGGTAGTCCATATGATTGTGACTTGAGCCCGCGGTAAAAAAGGCGCAAAAAAGTGGCACCGAGCAAAAAAGGTCGCGAGAAGGAAAAACGTCGCGCTGAGAGAAAAAAAACGACGCGCCAAGTTAAAAAAGTCGCGCCAAGTAGAAACAAGTCGTGCCAAGTAAAAAAAAAAAGTCGCGCCAAAATAGAAAATGTTTGCACGTGTTTTTAAAATGTATAAGTGTAGAAAACATATAGCAGCGTGCGTATGTCCCTAACAGGGCTCCGTATGATCATGTAGTACAACATCAAAATAGACGATAGAAATGGTCAGATTTACGTATTAAAAAAAGGACATAGAACAAATTGCAACTAATCAGAAGAACATGAATCATTATTAATATCAGCTGCTTAGCTTTATCAGTGAATGCTCTGGTGTCGAGACTATTTTGCCACTATTTTGCATTCGACTTCACGTGCGATATTTTGACAATGCGAACGTCGCTAGAATCTGCACCTCCAACAAGAGTTCTTCTACGTCATCAGCCTGAGGGATCATGTGAGATTGCAGTGCGCATGCGTTCTTCAGTGCGGTTACGCTATGGCGTATTTCAACACGATTTTCGTGTTCCTTCAATAACGTACTTTATTTGTATCGAGCATAGGGTACACTCGCTTTTTATTCACGCTTCGTAGAAGCTGTAAGAATTTCCTTTGCTTGTAAAACGAAGTCAACCAAAATACACAAGTATTTCTTCGGAAAACAAAGTGTTTTCGCGACAGAGCACGTGCTCGAGAAAAGCACACGAAGCGGCGGATTGTCAACTTCCAAGTCGTTTCAATCGCTATTAATGCTTGTTTATCATGCCTGAAAACAGCACCAAAAGCCGCTTAGAGAGGAAAGAAAAACCTGCCCGATCAGAGGCGGAAGTTTCCTTGACTAAAGAAGCGCCAAAGCAGTCTAAAACGACAACTGACAATTTGGCGGGAAGAGGAACCTCCATTGCCCATCAAGTAGCCCACACTGTCGCTGACAGTGAGCCGTCTACACAGGGTACTAGTAGCGAGCTACTAAAATTTGGAGCCAAATTTGGAGTTATCAGATTCCATAAGAGAAAGACACCATGGCTGAAAACGTTACAAAACTTCATCAGTCATTGACCACTGAGCAATATGATGATGAAGGAGAGGACTCTGATGGCGACCTCTTGGTCTCTGATCCAGAGTCTGATAACGAGCCACCAAACAAACGAGCACGAGAAACCACAGCTGATAAAACTGTGGARTTGAGTGAGTCCAAAGGCAAACGTAAAGTGCTTASTTCTATCGCTGAAAAATTACAAATGCAGGAAAAAGTTGACTCTGACGTTGACTCACAACTCTCAACAATGATAAACAAGTTGATGTTTCGAAAAGAAAAACCTGACGAGGAAAAGCTAAAGGAAAAGCTAAATCTCATTCTTCGACCTGCCAATTGTACTTCACTTGTCACTACTAAAGTTGATGAATTAATCTGGCAAAGGCTAATGCCACAAACACGCTCGTTTGACTCAAGGGCACAGGTAGCCSAAACATGTATTGTGAAGTCTGTAACACTCTTGACAAAAATGCTGGATAAGGCATTAAACCTAAAAGACAAAATCCCAGATCTGCTTACATCRTCAACCTCTGATGAAACCGACAAACCTGACGAAAAATTGCAAGGTGAAATTGACACCTTCATCCAAGAAGGTGTGAGTGCCCTCGAAATCATGAGYTTTGCAAATTATGRACTGAATGCACGGCGTAGAGAGTGTATARAGCCAGATTTAAATGAGGAATACACTTCGCTRTTCTCTGCATCAGTGCCAATCAATGAATTCTTGTTTGGAGGGGACACATCCAAACGATTGGAGGAAATTGACAAAACAAACAAGGTGGTGAAAAAGGCTATGGGTCATAGCTCATACTCCAAARGTCGGCAGTATAAAACCAYTAACTTTAATTATAASAACAGAGGTCGGAACCRGAGGTCATATTCAAAAAGGAACAATTACCCTYAGAGGCCTTTTKTAGGGAAACAYCSTTCCCCCTCCAACAGCAACTATCAAAGATATCAAAAAGGAGGAAAAGGGAAGGAGTCAAAGAATTAAACACAACTGAGGTAAGAAAYTCTCTGSTATCTTTYTATGGGGATTCTTTTCACCTGGTTAGCACAACCCATTTTAAAGCAGGTAGACTGAAAGAGTTTGCACCAAAATGGGAGCAGCTAACATCAGATGTCTATATCCTTGACACTGTACAGCATTGTCACATAGAATTTGCGGAAGATTTCCGCTCATGTAAACAAACATATGTCAGGACACAACATTTCAATAATGAGGA